TCTGTGCAAACTGGCGCATCAGATTATCCTTTGGTCCCAGGGAAAGATATTGTCAATAAGGGCAATGTATATCCCAGGGGTTCAGAATCGGGGAGCAGACATCCTGTCGAGGCAGGGGCTGAGGCCCGGGGAATGGAGACTTCATCCGGATGTGGTGAAGTCGATATGGGAGAGGTTCGGACCGATGGAAGTGGATCTGTTTGCGTCTCGAGAGACGTCCCACTGTCCACTTTGGTTCTCCCTCTCACATCCAGCCCCGCTGGGGTTGGATGCCATGGTACAGGCTTGGCCGAGGCTTCGCCTGTACGCTTTCCCCCCGATCGCTCTGCTCCCAGGGGTCCTGGAGAGGGTCCGTCAAGAGGGCATCAGTCTACTTCTGGTTGCCCCGAGATGGCCGACACGAGTATGGTTCTCGGATATAATATCACTCCTCATAGCTCCGCCATGGCCGATTCCTCTGAGGAGGGATCTATTGTCTCAGGCGGAGGGCACAATCTTCCACCCTCGCCCAGAGTTGTGGAAGCTGTGGGTCTGGCCTCTGAGGGGGTTCAGTACCTAAATGCTGGCTTATCAGCTGAGGTGGTTGAAACCATACTTAGCTCTAGGGCCCCATCTACCAGGAGATTATATGGCCTCAAGTGGAAGGTGTTTCACACTTGGTGTGGAGAACGAAGGTTGGATCCAGTAAACTGCCCAGTGGCTTCAGTTCTGGAATTCCTTCAGGATCGTTTCTCTGCGGGTCTCTCCCCGTCCACTCTTAAGGTGTACGTGGCTGCCGTTTCGGCTTTCCACGCGCCAGTAGATGGTGGACCTCTGGGGAGGCACCAGTTGGTCATTAGGTTTCTCCGTGGTGCTTGGAGGATGAGGCCGGCGATCAGGTCCAGGGTGCCTGCCTGGGATCTGGCAATAGTTCTGGAAGGGTTGTCGCTCGCTCCCTTCGAACCTTTAGAGTCGGCTTCGCCTAAGGACTTAACGTTGAAAATGGTCTTTCTCTTAGCGATTACCTCTCTTAAGAGGGTGGGAGATCTCCAGGCCCTGGCGGTAACGCCAGCTTGCTTGGAGTTTGCCCCTGGCAAAGTAAAGGCCTTTTTGCACCCGAGTCCGGGCTACGTGCCTAAAGTTCCTTCGAGTACGGCTCGCTCTGTAGTCCTTCAGGCATTCCATCCTCCACCTCATGTGTCGGCGGGAGAAGAGAGGCTTCACTTGCTCTGCCCCGTCAGAGCTTTGAGTGTATACTTGGAAAAGTCTGCTTCTTGGAGAAGATCTGACCAGTTGTTAGTATGCTTTGGGTCACCTAAGAGGGGGCTCCCGGCGACCAAACAAACTATAAGTAACTGGATTGTCCAGGCTATTACTGAGGCTTACAAGGTGCGTGGGGTTCCTTCACCTTTGGCCTTAAGGGCTCACTCGACTAGAGGCATGGCTTCCTCTAGGGCCCTTCTGTCGGGAGTACCTCTGCAGGAGATTTGTGAGGCAGCCGGCTGGGCTACCCCGCATACTTTCATCAGGTTTTACAGTCTCAGCCTTCCCAGTACGCCCGGTGCACACGTACTCGGCCCTTGCTGAGTGCCTAATCAGTTTCACTCTGGGGCGGGTCTGTTCGGTGCGTGGCCTAGTGGGTACTCGTTCCCCAAAGAGTCGATTTTATCGACGCAGTGTTGAGTTCCCTCGATAGGGAACGTCTCGGGTTATGACTATAACCCTTGTTCCCTGAGAAGGGAACGAGACACTGCGTCGTGTTGCCACGCCCCCTTTTCAGACCCTTGAGCGTCTTGCTTCATCGCGAGGCTAGTGTGTGTTGTGACAGCGTCACTTTTATACTTCCGGGTATGCCGTCACATGTTACGTCACGACGCAACACCAATCAGGATTGGATTAGTTTCATTCATACTTCAGAGGCGCACGCTTAGGGAGCGTCCCCAAAGAGTCGATTTTATCGACGCAGTGTCTCGTTCCCTTCTCAGGGAACAAGGGTTATAGTCATAACCCGAGACGTTTTGTTGGGAGGTGGGGGGGGGGTGCACGGTAGGCCTATGTAGCTCGCCGCCTATAGTGTATTCTATATGCAACAGTTTTTTGAGCCTTTTCTATTAACAGTTTTAAATTTCAGTGCGCATGAAGAACAATAGCATTCTCTCGACTCTATGCTGTAATCTCACATACACCCGGGAGAAGGGAATGTGATTTAGAAAGGGCAATAAACTCCACTCCAGCAAGATAAAGTCATTTTATGCAAACCACAGACCTTTATGCTTTATCTACAAATAAAGTATAATAATATTGATCTTGAAGAGAGTGTCGTCGTGTTACTGTCGCAACCGAACGTGGCGCGCTGTGTGAATGCTGAATGGAGAATGACTGAGGCGAGATGACTTTCCGTTAACTTAGCGACTAAAATATTAATTTTACCACACATTATGCTATTGAATGACTTTAGAAGTGTGGCGGCCCGCCACGGGACAATAAATGTAGCGGAAACACTGAAAGGTATTTATTTGATGTGCTTTTTACTGATACTGAAATTCTTTAATTCAGGGGATCTTAAAGTTATGGCTATGCTCTTGTTACCAGATAGGATATAGGCATTTGACCCTGTGATTCTTCAGGACAAGCTCTTGATGCCATCCACACTCAGTACATGACGAAGGTGAGTTTCGCAATTGCTGCCATTATCACAAATCAAGAGACAGAACACAACAGGCTTTCTTCCATATGAACTCACCCATATGTAGGAATGGGTACCGAAACCCGGTGTTAAACGGGCCCTGGGGTTCTGTTGTCAATCCGCGTTCACGGGTCCGCAGTGCTGACGTGTGTCTGGTGTGTCCCGTGTATTCGGGTTGAAATAATTAGAGGAGGACTTGCATTTATCTTGCCCAGCCATGTGTCTAAATCCTTAGACATCCTTAGAACCAAGATTTGTTTTGTTTACAGCGTGCGTCTCCCTCTGACTGTAAACGAAGCTTGGGAGCACCAGACACACGTCAGCAGCGTCTTACGTCAGCAGCGCCACTGAACGCGGATTGACAACAGCACCGGAAGACAATATAATGTTGAATAAAGTCGCAGTTTTTGTTATTTTTGGACCAAAATGTATTTTCGATGCATCAAAACATTCTAGCTAACCCACCGATCTCACATGGACTACTTTGATGTCTTTATTTCCTTTCTGGACAAGGACCGGTATGCCGTACATACATTTTTAATGGATGGACAGAAAGCTCTCGGACTAAATCTAAAATATCTTAAACTGTGTTCTGAGGATTACGAGCCAATGAACCAGTTTTAGTGCTGTTTAGCACAGTTTTTTAGTATGTATAAGTAAAGGAGAATACACTCAGCTGATCATATAATGTACATTATTTCTGCTTGGCTTTTGGAGCCCTAATATTGTTATTTATGAAAACACTGGCTGAATGGACATTATTAGATGGCTACTTCATAGTGCAACTGACTAATAGCAGTTGAGTATTCCAGATTGTGTGTTAATGTGGTGTGTATTCTTCTCATTTTAGCTCCCGCGTCCATTTGGGCTGAAGGTCGAGACAGAACCAAACCAAAGCTGGACTGTAACCTACGGGCCACAGGACAGACTTGTTTACATTTTGATGATCTCCTTCTGTCTACATGAAGTTCTATTGCTGAATTCCCTATTATTTGTTGTTGGAAACGATGCAAGTCGTGTTCATTGTTCTCGTAATTGTTAGGATATACATTTATGCCATTTCCTGAGTGTTGAGTTGCGTTGACTTGACTGGAGTGGTTTTAACATGCACTGGATGGAGATCTCTCTCATCTTTTTAGCACCTTAGTCACTGATTGTGTCCCTCCTAACTTTAAAGCCGTGTTATTCATTTCTTTTAGTCTCTTCTGCTGTCGTCGTGCTCTTTCTCTTACACGTGCATCTCTTAGCTCGGTTAATTTCCTGTGCTCATTTCTTCACTCACTCAAACCCGTTTGCTGCTGTTTGGAACTTCACTGTTATTGTTGTGGAATGAAGGAAAAGATGGATTCTGGTGGAGAGGAGGCATCTGGAGTTTGACCGAATGGGGTGAGCCGAGTGCCCCCCCCCCCCCTTCATCTTCGGCTCAATGCCCTCCTAAAGGCACAGTTCCCTGGTATATGAGCAGAACGAACATTCTTGAAGAGCTAGAAATGCTCAAAGACTTCTGTACTGTTTCTTATAGTGACGATGAAATAGTCCTTTTTTTTCTTTTCTTTTTAAAAAAAATGAAATTAATAAACACGCTGTTTTAAAATTGCAATGTGGCGTAATTGAATATTTGTGCTTCTATACAGCTGTAATGCACCCAGAGTACAGAAATGTGCTTTCACTTTTCAGATTTTCCCAGAGGAAAATAAAATTCTCCTAGACAACTTTGAGATCCATATGACACCAAACTGAGACAAAGGTTTATTTCTCCTGTGTCTCAGGCTTTTCTCTGGAGCAACAAGATGCACTAAATCTCAATTTAGTCTCCTTTTAAGTTTCAGAAGAGATCTCAACAAGCTCTAATATAATGCTCAGAGTTTCTCAACTTCTGTGTCTCTTTGTGATCTCAGACAGAGAAATCAGAGAGTTCTCTCCATGAACTCAATATACTCTCATCCCAGCTTCAATTCATGCATCTCATGCTAAACTCAGATAGAGCAAAGGAAGAGATTTCCACAAGTACTCATTGAATTCTCAGACTTGGATCACTGTCTTGGTTGTTTCATATCATATGATTAATCCACATGATTTTTTTAATATAATGTATTACTGTATGAATAAATTAATTGTAAATCTTTTATTTTAGGCTGCAAAGACCCTCTTCTTTTATTTTATTTTCTATAAATGATTATAAATAAATAAAAATATATAAATGATTTTCTATAAGTGAAATATTTCACTGCATGTAATTCAGTAAAATAATTTTATTAACCACACAAAACACATTGTACAATAAAAGCAGTAATTTATTGGTAACTTGAGAGCAAAGAAATTACAATTTCTACATTTCAGATTTATCAAAGTTTAACTGCCAAAAACTCATATCATTAATACATGTAATGTTGTATATTCAGATGTATGCATCTCATCTTAGCCCCAAAGTGACCTTTTTGAATGACAATAGATTTGCCCAAACAGTTGAGATGGCATCACAGTATAAACTATTTGTCCATCAACATATTTCACATTTTCAGTAAGGATTTTCAACTAGTTGGAAAAATCATGGGCTCTTCTGTTCAAAATAAGATCATATCTTTGACTTTATAATATCTTTAGTCCCTTTCAAGTTTGTTAGGGAAATGTGCAGCAAACACAATACCAGGCATTGAGGACAAATCAATGAACATCAACTTGCCCAAAATACTTTCAAGTCCTACCACTGTCTTTCTCACAGGAACTTCCAGGAGGCTAACAATATGGAAACACATTCCACCTGTCAAAGTATCTTGTAGAAGATTTATGCTTGCAACTGCAAATTCATTCAAAAATGCAAGTTTTATCTCATTCTGACCTTCATTGGGTTCTTTGTAGGAACACAATAATTTAATCTGTCCATATTTGATCTGCGCACCATCAGAAAATAACACTGTGTAATTGTTTCGTCTTTTGGTTTTGACATACTGCTGGGAAGTGTAAATTATTTTCCCTATTTGAGCTCTGTTATATGCCTTGACGACATTACTATGTAAAGCGTGACCAAGAAACTGTTCCAGAAAAAAAATATCATCAGTTTCAAGACATCTATTGAATGATGCCCCTAACATGGCCACAATATTGACAACATTACTTGGTTGATAACTGCTATTTGCCATTCTGGCCAAAAACTCAGTAGTTGCTATGTTCAGCTTTACGTTTTGTGTGATGTTAGGGAGAGATTGTATAGTCTTTACAGCATTTACCATTTGGGCAGGTATATTCTGGGTTCCATGTATAAGACGCAGCAAGTACCCATTTTTGTCTTCAAAGTGAAAGCAAGAGTGTGTCCACAGAGGTCCAAGAGCTCTCACACTATCAGCTAAATGGACAAGTAAGTGTAAATTGGCTGTCATGTATCGCTCACCATAGAGTCCACTCATTTGAGAACAGAAATTCAAGAGTAGTTTCTCAGCATGATCTATTTGAGCAGGGGTTATTGACTCCATCAGAAGAATAAAGATTGCTTCACTAAGGAGCAGGAAATGGTTGTAGTACAGCCCTGCAAGGATGCCCCGGAATACAACTGGCCCGAAAAACAGCAAAATGTACCGATACTCAGATGCTTTAAAGAACATCCTGTGAGAAGACACAGAACGAGGGAATCGAATCATAAATGGTGGCCTTATTTCTTTGAGACGTCTGTCAACTTCTTTGATTGATCTGACCATACTGAATGCACATCGAGAGAACTCTGTGGAAAACCACAAAAACATCAATAGACGCATTACTCCCAGTAGTACAGCATGTAGTCTATACCTGTGCCCAAGACCAAATCATAGCTTGTTAGTCTGCTGAGAAACGTAGGTCCCTTCACCCCACGAACAACGCTGTTGGAATCATAGGCCATCTTAGCATAATCTACAAACCCCTTGTGAGTACGAGGCGGGCCTTTTGAATCTGTCTTCTGGAAAGGAAAGGCATGGACATGGCCTCTCTCTCCAGTCTTCACTGTTTGACCTGGCTGTTCACACTTTAGACACCCAAAATGTCCATTGAATTGAACAGTATTAAGTACCAAAGCTTTTGCAGGCAAATCGCAGGTTCCTGCAATGGTAAAGGCTTTGCATATGAAAGGTTCTTGAGCTCCTGCAAACTGAAGAGAAACTCCTTCTCTTTCAATTTTGTTCAGAGAGCCACACAGTGGTTCAAGGAATGTCAACATTGACGGCTTTGAATCCCCAAACCAAACACCTGCAAATATCATGTTTTCTCGTTTCGTGCGCTCAACAAAATTGAACTCATTTATGACACAATAAAAAGGCCAAACAGAAAACTTTGAAGACTTAAAAATGGGTATGCCGTCTGTGTTCCACATTAACGAAATGTTTCTGGAATCACTGAGAGGCCCATTGCAAGTACTAAATTTCTGATAGGTTTTTTTCGTCATATATTTCTTCAATACTGTCATGACACTTTTTATGTCTATTAAACCTAAACTTCAGTTTTTCTTCAAAACCTTCCTGAGCAAACAATCTCTTCAGTTGTGCTTCAATGGGAACCTCAATGAAATAGGAGGTTGATCCCTCCATCAACACATTGGCTTTACAGGTTTTACACTGGGTGTCTGTACTCTCAACAATCATGAAGCATGAGCTACAATATTTGTGCAAAAGCAGAGAGGAGGGATCATCAAAAAACTGTTTAAATTGGTGTAAATTTTTAAGACACTCAGTCTGTGTATCAGAGGGGCAGTGCAGAGATATTAATGTAAGCAAATCACTGAGAGCTTTTCCTGTTATTTTGTGTCTGTTTGCAAAAGTCATTATGAGGAGAAGACTCTCTGCAACAGAAATTGGTGCATTTCTGTACAGTGGATCTACAGTGTTTGTAGAGCTTTCGAGTTCTGTTCCCTCCTCTTGGTTAAGCTCAAAACTGTCTTCAAATGATAGGTCATCATCAATTGAAAGGTCTTCATCAAATAACGCATTGTCATCTAAAGTCCCTTCCTCAACATATTCAGGTAGAGGCTCAGGAAATGTATCCATGTAAATAGGCTGTTCAGGCTCTGATTCAACATTAAGAGCAGAGTGATGCATCTCACTTGTGTGTCCATTGCACTGGGATGGACAGTTGGCGTAATGGATGTTACACACATTTGTGTTTGAAGAGTCTTCCAAATTAGCAGATCTGGTCACTTCCTCGGTGCCGCAATCATCTGACCTCCAGTTTGTTGCTTCTAGAAAAAAAAGAAAAAATCAATTGATTAATTTGCTTTTACTTGACTGATGAATTTATGGCTTACTAGTCTCAACATGTTTATTTTTCATTATACTTATGCTAAACACATTACTAATTAATTACTAGATTAAAGTGTTATAATAACCACCTGAGCTGTTAGTAAACCCTTGACAAGGTTTGAAGGTCTCACTTCAGTAACAGTGTTTTATTGGACTCATTAACTTTTATTTGAATTAATGCTCTAGTCGATCAAAATTTTAAAGCTTTGCAACATGCGATTTCCACAATAAATAAACTACATGCCATCTTGGAGACTGAAGGAAATGGAGTTGTGATTTGGACATTTTTGCACATATTTTACCTCTATTTTCCTGTCCGTGTGTGTCCTGCAGAAAAACGAGAATGATAATACATTAAGCATATTTAAGACTCGCATGCAAATTTATAAGACATTCCTAGGTTACAACAATACAGTATATACTGTAGGAAATCCTGCAATAATTCTCCCCACATGGGGATTAAAATATACATTTTATTGGATCTGTTTAAAAGAGGTGATTTACTTGGATGGCCATTTTGAAAACTGTACTTTTCAGACATGTTCTTGCTAATCCCACATATAAAGGTGATCTTAACAGACTGTCATTTCAAACAAATATTTTATTGTTATATAAAATTATTGAGGAACATTGTCAGAACCATGGAGCTGATGAAATGTTGCTGAGTCATAGCAGCTAAAAAATATATTTTATTTTTTAGAAATTACCTGAAAGTCACACTTCAGTAAAAGGGAAGTTTTTAAAATATGACTTTGGTAAAAGCTAGTTACTGACATGAAAAAGACTTTAGTAGAAGTATTAAAGTATATGATATCACAGTAAATGTACTTCAGTTTCAAAAGTGTAAGTAAATTACATAATATTTACATGTATGGGTTGGTTGATTATGTCCTGGCCAATAATTAGATTTGTTATTGACCTGAATCAGTTAAGTCATTCATGTAAATTAATCTAAAATGTGCTGTTTTGACTCTGAAGCTTCATGTAATCTGTAAAGCAAATGGAAACTATAGTTATCAGATAAATTTGTAGTAAACATGAAAATATTATTTTTCCCTAAAATAGTGGAGTGGAAATATCAAGTGGTAAGTTAACCAACACCTCAAATGGTACGTAAATACATAACTTGGGTGAATGTGCTTATATTCAATCACTGCAGATGACAATATAAAAACAATAAAATGTAAATTTCCCAACCTTTCTTCTGTATCTTTTGCAAGTAATTTGCTGGCTCTTCACCTTTCTCCTCCAGCGTGAGTTGTACTTCTGCGCCATTTTTTTTTTTAGCTCCAACTGTATAATACACACACACACACACACAAATATAGAAGATGCTCTTCTTTGATGATGGTGGTATAGACAGTGCAGTCTAATACACAGTGTTGTTACACTTAAGGCCAATTTATACTTCTGCGTCGAGGGTACGCCGTAGTGTACGGCGTTGGCTTCGCACGTAGGCGACGCCGTCGTGAGCATTTATACTTCTGCGTTCAGGTATTGGTTGCTCTGCAGTATTGCTCCGAAACGCTAGTTGGCGGCGGAGGGTTTTAATGTTCCACTGTGTTTAGATTCCTCGCGGCTAGGTTACTACAAGCAATAGCGACTGAAAGAGCGTGGATCATGTTGGAGTTGGAGCTTATTGGGGTGGAAAAACAGTTCATTTTAGTGAAATTACTAAAACTGAAAGGCAGAAATGACAGAAGACGTCGGAGGAGATGGTACGTGTGGAAATGCGTGAGAAGGTACGTGCGGAAATGCGTAGGAGGAAATACGACGCTACCAAGCCGACCAATCACCTATCTTGCGGTCCGCGTCGTCGCGACGTGTAGTTACATTTTTGAAGAGGTGCGCGTCAGGCAACGCGGAAGGGTACGCGGTATGGGACGCGTCTGTGCGTATGCTACGCCGTACCTACTGCGCGCACCCTACGCAGAAGTATAAATTGGCCTTTACCCCCCTACTATCAAATGTATCAGTAACCTCTATGGAAGAGCAATATTGACTGGTGTCGGGGGCTGCAGTTGATTAAGCAGCGCCCCTCCACTGTGAATTAACCAATGACGATGCAGCATTTGTGACTGATGGCGCTCTTCTGCTGACGTAAGGTTCAAGGTTCACTGGGTTCCCTTTCGTAGTCACTTCGAGTTACGTCAGAAGTGACGGAGATTGGGGGTTTCGCATAGAAAGCCAATCCTCTTCGAGTATTTAAACACGAGCCAATGGCATGCAATGCCTTGGGGCTGCGGAAATTTGCATAGCGTACTCCGCCCTACTCCGTGAGTATAAAAGGAGGAAGTGAACGCAACCGCAGTATGTTTTCGCTTCGGAGCCAAGAGAACCTCTTCACTCCTAAAAGCTGATTCAAGACTCTTCGAGAACGAGCGTCCTCTTCAGTGTTGGTGTGACGGCGGTACCCAGCGAGATTTTGCATTGCCTGCGATCTGAGCAGTGGTCTGCCAGACTTTGCACTTCTCCCTGGTAGCTTCAGCGCTGAAAGAGTGAATTTCTCCTTTCTCATAAAAGTGAAAGTGAAAGAGCTGCACGCGGCACGTCTTTTTAAAGATGGTTCGCCCGTGCCCTTCTGGATGTGGTAGATTTCTGTCATCATCTGATGGTCACGAACGCTGCTTTGTATGCCTGGGCATTCAGCATGCAGCAGCAGCGTTCGTGGATGACTCATGTTCCTTCTGTGGGAGCATGACCATCTCCACACTGAGGTCGAGGCTCAATGATCTCACTAGAGTGAGAGCCCCGGTCCCCCCTACTCGATCGGCTTCCTTCACGAAAGGGGGCCCGTCGACCCGGGGACCCGGCGATCTAACGGTGACGGTGTGGGATAAAGCCCCGACGATTCCTCGGGCCACACCTCCCGCCTCAGTGCGTGAGCCAGCTAGCGCTAGCTCGACTCGGTCGGTTGTCTCTTCGGCGGCACCGGCTGCTTCGAGCAGCGCTCCAGATGATGATGCGATGTCTATCACAGCATCACTAGGTGGGCTTGAGTCCTCGGGAGAGGAAGATGCGGCTGCGTTGCCCCCTTCGGGAGTGCCAGCGTTGCCCGTGTCAGATCCCGAGCTGACGGCCATGCTGTCTCGAGCCGCTGGGAGTATCGGGCTAGAATGGAAACCTCCATCCTGCCCCGATCTCTCGCGGATGGATAATTGGTATCTGGACAAAGCTGCCGCCGCAAGGCCACGGCCAACTCCAATACCTTTTTTCCCCGAGCTGCATGTGGAGTTATCGCGCTCTTGGGGGGCTCCTTTGTCCACTCGAGAGCGCGATCTCTCCCCCGCCTTTCCCCCCCTCGACGGTGGGGCCGCCCGTGGGTACACTGGGATGCCCCCGGTGGAGCGCTCTGTTGCGATGCAGCTGTGTCCACAGAGCGCCTCCCACGGGTGGGCAGCACCCTGAACTGGTTAAAGAAAGACTTGACATCCTCACTGAGCTCACAGACTGGAGTGGGTGCGCTCGATGCCCCCGTGCGTCAGCCCACACACTCCTCTCTGTCTCTGAGGGCGCGGAAGGGTGCGTGTGTCGTCCCCGGGCTACACCAATCCCTTCCCCCTCTGTCGCCAGACCCCCGGCAGAACAGGCCCCCGTGGAACGCTCCGCTTTCCCTGGTCCCTTCTGTCGGGGAGCGGGCTTCGACGCATCCGAGCGGGGTAACTCCTGCACGCGTGCCAGTCGACCCGCACCGCTGCCCCTCCGGGGGGACGTCTGTGGTTCGCATGACCCCGTTGGCTCATTTCCTGGAAGCCTGGCTAGCGCTTCCCAGGATATCCCGCTGGGTCATCAGAACGATCAGATTCGGCTACGCGATTCAGTTCGCATGGTCTCCTCCCCGCTTCAGGGGAGTTCGCTCCACGATAGTTGGTGGCAATGCCCCAGTCCTGAGAGCGGAGATTGCGACCCTGCTGGTGAAGAGTGCAATCGAGACGGTCCCTCCAGCCGAGGTGAAGTCCGGGTTTTACAGCCCCTACTTCATTGTCCCCAAGAAGACCGGTGGGTTACGACCGATCCTGGACCTGCGCATTTTGAACCGTTCTCTCCATCGACTACCGTTCAAAATGCTCACGGCCAAACGCATTTTCGAATGTGTTCGGTATCAGGATTGGTTTGCAGCGATCGACCTGAAGGACGCGTACTTCCATGTGTCCATCTTACCTCGACACAGACCGTTTCTTCGGTTTGCCTTCGAGGGCCAGGCATATCAGTACGCCGTTCTCCCATTCGGGTTAGCTCTGTCCCCTCGCGTCTTCACGAAGATCGTCGAGGCAGCCCTTGTTCCCCTTCGCGAACAAGGGGTTCGCATCCTGAATTATCTCGACGACTGGCTGATACTAGCACACTCTCGAGCTCAGCTTTGCGAACACAGAGACTTGGTGCTCCGGCACCTAGCCCGTTTGGGCCTTCGGGTCAACCGGGAAAAGAGCAAACTTTGCCCCGTGCAGAGGATCTCTTTTCTCGGCATGGAGATAGACTCGGTCGCCATGTCCGCGCAGCTCACGAACGAGCGCGCGCACTCACTGCTGGCTTGCCTTCGTCAGTTCGAGGGCAAGAGTGCGGTTCCACTGAAACTTTTTCAGAGGCTCCTGGGGCATATGGCATCCGCGGCCGCGGCAACGCCGCTCGGTTTGCTTCATATGAGACCGCTTCAGCTGTGGCTTCGCGATCGAGTCCCGAGGTGGGCATGGCATCGCGGCTCGCTCCGAGTCCCAGTGACTCCGGCATGCCGGCGAACCTTCTTCCCGTGGTCGAACCTCAGCTTTTTACGGACAGGTGTCCCTATTCAGCGAGTTTCCAGACATCTCGTCGTCTCCACGGATGCATCTACCACGGGTTGGGGTGCCATGTGCAATGGGCATGCAGCCGCCGGTTCCTGGACAGGAGCCCAGCGCCTCATACACATCAATTGCCTCGAGCTGCTGGCAGTACGGCTCGCCCTACACCGCTTCAGAGCGTTGCTCAAGGGCCAGCATGTGCTTGTCCGCTCAGACAACACTACGGCTGTAGCGTACATCAACCACCAGGGGGGTCTACGCTCGCGCCAGTTGTCGCAGCTCGCCCGCCACCTCTTGATATGGAGTCAGAAGCACCTGAGGTCCCTTCGTGCAGTTTACATTCCTGGAGACCGGAACTGGGCAGCCGACGAGCTGTCTCGGGTCCGTCCCATCTCCGGCGAATGGCGACTCCATCCCCAGTCGGTCCAGCTGATCTGGAAAGAGTTCGGGGAGGCACAGATAGATCTGTTCGCCTCTCGGGACTCAGCCCACTGCGCCCAGTTTTATTCTCTGACCTGGGGCACTCTCGGTTCGGATGCGCTGGCGCACAGCTGGCCACGGGGCCCACGCAAGTATGCGTTTCCCCCAGTGAGCCTCCTTGCACGGGTGTTGTGCAAGATCAAGGAGGACGAGGAGCAGGTCTTGCTGGTAGCCCCCTACTGGCCCACCAAGACGTGGTTCTCCGATCTCATGCTCCTCGCGACAGCACCTCCTTGGCCTATTCCTCTGAGACAAGACCTACTCTCTCAGAGACGGGGCACTCTGTGGCACCCTCGTCCCGATCTTTGGAGGCTGCACGTGTGGCTCCTGGATGGGACGAGGCAGGTTTGAGTTCGCTGCCACCTGCGGTGGCGGCAACCATCACTTCCGCAAGAGCGTCGTCCACGAGACACCTCTATGCGTTGAAGTGGAACCTCTTCGTCAATTGGTGCTCTTCTCGCGGAGAAGACCCCCGGAGATGTTCGATCGGTGTCGTGCTTTCCTTCCTGCAAGAGGGGTTGGAGCGCAGGCTGTCGCCCTCCACCCTTAAGGTTTACGTCGCGGCCATTGCCGCTTCTCATGAAGCAGTGGAAGGTAAGTCCTTAGGGAAGCACGACCTGGTCATCAGGTTCCTGAGGGGAGCGAGGAGGCTGCATCCGCCTCGTCCTCCCCTCGTACCCTCTTGGGACCTCTCGGTAGTTTTAAGTGCTCTGCAGAGGCATCCCTTTGAGCCTTTGCAATCGGTAGAGTTAAAGTTTCTGTCCATGAAGACAGCACTCCTGGTTGCATTGGCCTCCATCAAGAGGGTGGGGGACCTGCACGCATTCTCCGTTGACGAAGCGTGCCTGGAGTTCGGGCCGGCTTACTCTCACGTTATCCTGAGACCCCGGCCTGGATATGTGCCCAAGGTTCCCACCACTCCCTTCCGGGACCAGGTGGTGAACCTGCAAGCGCTGCCCCCGGAGGAGGCAGACCCAGCCTTGGCACTGCTCTGTCCGGTACGTGCTCTCCGCACCTATGTCGACAGAACGCAGTGTTTCAGGACCTCAGACCAGCTCTTTGTCTGTCATGGAGGGAGCCAGAAGGGAAGGGCTCTCTCAAAGCAACGGCTGTCCCACTGGATAGTGGATGCCATTGCTTTGTCTTACCAGCAGCAAGGCCTTCCGTGCCCCCTTGGTGTGACGGCCCATTCCACTCGGAGTGTAGCCTCCTCTTGGGCTTTAGCGCACGGCGCCTCGCTAACAGACATCTGCAGAGCTGCAGGCTGGGCGACACCCAACACCTTCGCCAGATTCTATAATCTGCGAATTGAGCCGGTATCCTCTCACGTACTCGTTTCGGCCAGTTCTGGATCCGCTCAGGTGTCTTCGCTTGCTCGCCACTCCACTCCCCGGACTGGATAAGTGCGATATTTCCTCAGTTCTTCCATTGAAGTCTTGAGTCCTCCAGCACCGACGATGCGGGCACCACTGCGTTGCTCTGGATGCTAGCTAGGTGCCTCCATGCGCACGGTTCCCCATGGTAACCGTCTCATGTGTATTATCCACTGTAAGCCTCTCTGAGCATGTGTCTTCCCTTGGCAAGCCATCTGCCACCCCTGGAGTTTAAATTAGTAGCCACCTGCGGTTGGTACTCCAGTGTTCCATATGCGTTCCTATGTGGCCATATGTGTATTCATAAGTCCTCCCTTCGGTAGGCAGCTGGTAGCATGTCCCCTTCGGGATATGTTTCCCAGTGTACCTTGGTAAT